GTGCTGTTAGCGAGCACCTCTGAAAGCCGGCACGGCACAAGAAGGGGTGGGTGGCCATCACCACGCCCGGCCGCCTTTGTCTCCCCAGTGACGATGTTTACACATCGCAACAGGTACTCATTTGAGGCTGAGTCGACCTAGGGGAGACCCAGGACCGGTTTAGGTAATCGTAACTGGCAGTGGCCGTGAGTCCGAATCGAACTCGTGTCGCAAGCTTCGTAGCGCAGCGCGCAAACAGCTACACTACCGCTCCCCACAATATGCACCACACAACAACAACCGCCCTTCGCCACGAAGTGGCGGTGACGTCACCACGGCGCCTGTGGCAGGCTAGGTGCACGTTGAGGCCACGTGAAGTGTCGAACGCCCGCCGGCAGGAGGTCACGGGGCAGACCCAGGTGCCATGGGTTGCCTGACTGGGATGACCGGCTGATGCACCACCTGTGCCCCTACACACAGAGGAAGGCAAGCGTAGTTCGAGAGAAGCGAGCTCATTGTGAGCACGCACCTTTACGTAATGTTTTGCATCAATAAACACGCAACAACAACAACAGCCAAATAACTGATGAGCTGTATTCCTCCGTGTCAATGCGAAACGATATTCCCTCTGCGCGTATCGCGTTCCTACCCCAGGCTATCAACACACACACGGGCATTTCTAGAGACAAAGACAACAGCAAAACCGCTCACTAAATTGATGGTGGCGGTGATAACTTCATTGCCTTTGGGAGGGGGTGGGGGGTGAGTTTGAGTGTCTGCCCGACTGATGGATTGATACGCGAGACACACTACACTACACCTCCCAGGTGAAACGTTACGCTCAGTAAGAGAACAAGGGGGGTGCTGGTGGGTTGGGTGGGGAGGTGAACAAAGATTAAACACGCGACATTCCACCTGGGCGAGGCCGGGCCACCTCATAGCCGGGGTTGGTGGTGGTGGTGGCTCTTTGCTTTACGTGGTGTGGAGCGGTAGCGTAGTGGTCAGCGCCAAGGGTGGCTGAGTCGGGTTTTTTACAATCGGGTTTAATTGTCTTCTTATATTAAACCCGATCATCTGAGATTGGGAGAAATCCGGTTTAATTGGTTCTAATTGCAAAACCGCACTTCGCCAACTTCTCAACGATGGGCTTCAGCCATTCCAAGCTAAGGAACTCACTGGCGCCCACGATTGTGGAGGAGAAGCTCGTGTTCATCAAGACCAACCTGCCCGCCGCATTCTACGACTACCCCGTGCCCGACGGCCCCCCCCCCCCCCGAGTACGATAGTAGCACCGACGCGGAAGCAGCCTAAGCCTTGGATCAGAGTTTCGTATTCATTAAACCAGGTTTTAATTCCCCGAATTCGGGTTTAATTGTATTAAAGAAGAAACCCGATGCCTGCCGCTGGAAAAATCGGGTTTTTTCCACCCATGGTCAGCGCGCTTGGCGCTGTGAACCCGGCGACCCGAGTGAACGTCGCCGCGAGAGAGACAAAGGCGCTCGGGCGTGGTGCGAGGTCACTGGCCTGCATTGGTACTCCTCGCTAACAGCACTTGCCCCAAACAAAGGTTAAAGGCTATACGGGGGATATTTGTCTTTGCCTGTCTGTAGGAGCGGTAGTGCAGTGGTTATCGCGCTGCGCTACGAACCCGGCGACCCGAGCTCGACGATTATCTGAACCGGTGCTGGGCCTCCCCTAGGTCGACTCAGCCTAAAATGAGCACCTAGTTCGGTGTGTAAAAATATCGCCGCTGGGGAGATAAAGGCGGCCGGGTGTGGTGCTGGCCACCCACCCCCTCGTGTGCCGTGGCGGCCTTCATAGGTGCTGCTCGCTAACAACACTTGCCCCGACAGTCTGTTCAGGTTATAGGGGGATCTTTGTCTTTGTTGTGTGGGTGGGGGGAGTAGTGGCGCAGCGGTTGGCGCTGTACTGCGCTACGAACTCGATTACCTCTCACGACCAACCATCGGCCACCGATACACGGGAGATCTTTGATCACCACGCGAATGTCCAGAAACTCTTCCCGTGGGGAGTGGAGGGGGGGGCCATATCGCTGCCTCGCCAGGAGAAGGCGGCACAGCAAAGTGTGGACTAATCTCCATCTGTTCAACACTCCCTCTCTTCATGTAGGCGTCAAGGAAAATTCAAAACCATTTCCATAGCCCCACTAATATTCTTGGATCTTTCGGTAAAGTCACGTAGAAAGGAAAGAATAAAATAATAAAAAGTAAAAGATAAAACATTATTTTATTATTTTATTATTTCCCTTCTACGTGACTTCACCGAAAGATCAAATAATATGAATCCCTGCAGTCACGAAAGCTTTAAATCGAAACCCCACTAATGTCAAATGGTTCATCGTTTGAAATTCACCGTTTGTTGGGCCACGTAAAGAAATTGGATTCGCTGAATGTTACGCCAACGTCAGGCGTACGTCTCGCGTGGGCTGATGGTCTAACATACGACAGATGCGTTCTTGTTGTTGTTGTTGTTGCTGATGACGTGACGTTGTTGCTGCTGTTACAGAGACGCGGTGAGAGACACGGACAGAGACATACACACACGGGGAGACAGGAACACGGGCAGACACAGAGAGACGGAGACAGAGACACGGAGAGATGGAGGCAGTTGTGCCACGTGGTATAGGCGAGTGGTCACATTGACCACTGACACTCTCACCACTCACCTGGCACCCTCACCACTCACCTGACACCCCTCACCACTCACCTGGCACTCGCCGAATTAATTTTATAACTAAGCTTCATTTTAAACTGAAATGAATCATGCAAAGAAAAACGATTGTGAGCGATAAATTAATTGGGGGGGGGGGGGGGGGTCACAAGACACCTGGACCACCCCGTATATTGCTATCCACCGTGATCTATCCAGACAGAGGCCTCCCCAAGCCACTGCCACCCATCCCTCGGCTCGTGCGCACGGGTCAATCTCACGGCTCCATCTCCGCGGAGGACGTGCCACCCAGGGAGCGTTCTCTCCGTTGACTGTCAATCCGTCGCTGCGCTTGACCAGCGGCCGTGATCCTCATGAGGTCCACGCAATACAGGAGGCAAGGAGACCCGTCAAGTCACGCAGACTGATGGGGCAAGTGTTTCGATTTAAAGCTTTCGTGACTGCAGGGATTCATCTTCTTGGTTATTTCGGTAAAGTCACGTAGAATGGAAATAATAAAATAACAAAAATAAAATATAATAAAATAATTCTCACGACGTTTCGGCCACAACGCAAGCAGCCGTCCTCAGGTGAGGACGGCTGCTTGCGTTGTGGCTATGATTCGCCGATGATGATGACCGCGGGCGTGCTAACAAAGCAGAGCCGTCTCTGGGCGACAGCGAATTCGATGCGTTCGCCCTGGGCCCCGCATCCCGCTATGGGCGGCCCTGCGAACTGCAACAACAACTGCGCCACCGCTCCCCCGACACACACACACACCAAACGCACACAGAGCCGTCTGTTCTGATTGTGTGCTGGACTTCATCAGAGGCGCGGGGCAAGGACAGCAAGACGGCTTCCTGAACGAGTGGTGGACTTTCGACGTTATCATGACGGGGAGCGCGCTGTCCGTAAAGCAGCATCAGCAAACGAGTGATGTCAGGGCCGGTACTGGGCCTCCCCTAGATCCACTCAGCCTCAAATTAGTATCTTGGTGTGATGTGTAAACAATCGCTACTGGGGAGACAAAGGCGGCCGGGTGTGGCGCTGGCCACCCACCCCTTCGTGTGTGCCTTGCAGGCCTTCATAGGTGCTGCTCCCAAATAGCACTTGCCCCAACAGTCTGTTAAGGCTACACGGGGGATCTTCGTCTTTGTGTGTTTGTATATCATTGCGTGGGCGTGCGTTCGTGGGAGTGGATAGGAGTGTGTGAATGTGTCTCATTTCGTGTGTGTGTATGTGTGTGTATGTGTGTCTCTATGTGTGTGTCTCATTTCGTGTGTGTATGTGTGTGTATGTATGTCATTTTTTTCTTTGTATGTGTGTCATTGCGTGTGTGTGTGTATGTCTGTATATATGTGTGTATGTGTGTGCCATTGCGTATGTGTGTGTGTCTGTATGTGTGTGTGTGTATGTCTGTATGTGTGTGTATGTGTGTTATTGCGTGTGTGTGTATGTGTGTCTCTATGTGTGTGTGTGTTTGTGTGTATGTGTGTGTATGTCTGTATGTGTGTATGTGTGTGTATGTGTGTATGTGTGTGTATGTGTGTCTGTATGTGTGTATGTCTCTATGTGTGTGTGTATGTCTCTATGTGTGTGTGTATGTGTGTGTGTCTGTATGTATGTGTGTGTGTATGTCTGTATGTGTGTATGTGTGTGTATGTGTGTATGTGTGTGTATGTGTGTCTGTATGTGTGTGTATGTCTCTATGTGTGTGTGTATGTCTCTATGTGTGTGTGTGTGTATGTGTGTGTGTGTCTGTGTGTGTGTGCCGTGCGGGCATTCATAGGTGCTCGCTCAAAGCACTTTCCCCGAGATTATTTGAAGGCTATACGGGGGTCTTTGTCTTTGTGTGCTCGTACTTGTATCTGCATGGAGAGCGGTGGTGCAGTGGTGAGCGCGCTGCGCTACGAATCCGCAAGACCCGAAATTGAGTCCCGCTCACAGCCAATACGAGCGACGATTATCTGAACCGGTTCTGGGCCTCCCCTGGGTAGCCTCAGCCTCAAATGAGTACCTGGTGCGGCGTGTAGTAAACATCGCCACTGGGGAGACAAAAGCGGTGGGGCGTGGTGCTGGCCACCCATCCCGTCTGGTGCCGTGACGGCCTTCATGAGGTGCTCGCTAAGAGCACTTGCCCTCACAGTCTGTCGAGGCTACACGGGCATCTTTGTCTTTGTCCTCGTGTGTCAACGAGGAGCGGCGGAGTCGTGGTCAGCGCACTTGGCTAGGAGCCCGTCGACCCGAATCTGATTCCCGCTCGCGATTATTCGAACCGATCCTGTAGGTCAACTCAGCCCTGAACGAGTACCAGAGAAACGTGTTGCGTAACTTCAGCAATAGGGGGGAGACAAAGGCGGCCGGGCGTGGTGCCTGTGCCCACCCCCCGCCCCTCGTCCGCCGTGTCGGCCTTCACGGGGTTGTTCACTAACAGCTCTTGCCCCGATCACCCGTTCAGGCTACACGGGGTGATCGATGTCCTTCGTCAGTGGTATGTCAGTGTGTCAGTGTGTCGTTGTATTAGTGTGTCAGTGTGTGTGTCAGTGTGTCAGTGTGTGTGTGTCGGTGTGTGTGTCGGTGTGTCAGTGTGTCGTTGTATTAGTGTGTCAGTGTGTGTGTCAGTGTGTCAGTGTGTGTGTGTCGGTGTGTGTGTCGGTGTCTCAGTGTGTCGGTGTGTCAGTGTGTCGGTGTGTCGGTGTGTCAGTGTGTCGGTGTGTCAGTGTGTGTGTCAGTGTGTGTGTGTGTCAGTGTGTGTGTCGGTGTGTGTGTCGGTGTGTCAGTGTGTCGGTGGGTCGGTGTGTCAGTGTGTCGGTGTGTCAGTGTGTGTGTTAGTGTGTCAGTGTTTGTGTCAGTGTATGTGTCAGTGTGTGTGTCGGTGTGTGTGTCGGTGTGTCAGTGTGTCGGTGTGTCAGTGTGTGTGTCGGTGTGTCAGTGTGTGTGTCAGTGTGTGTGTCAGTGTGTGTGTCGGTGTGTGTGTCGGTGTGTCAGTGTGTCGGTGTGTCAGTGTGTCGGTGTGTCGGTGTGTGTGTCGGTGTGTCAGTGTGTCAGTGTGTGTCAGTGTGTCGGTGTGTCAGTGTGTCAGTGTGTCGGTGTGTCAGTGTGTCGGTGTGTCAGTGTGTCAGTGTGTCGGTGTGTCAGTGTGTCGGTGTGGCAGTGTGTGTGTCGGTGTGTCAATGTGTTAGTGTATCGGTGTGTCAGTGTGTGTGTCGGTGTGTCAGTGTGTCGGCGGGCGTGTGGGAGTGGGAGTGTCGGTGTGTCAGTGCGCGCGCGTGCGTCCGTGCGTCTCATTCACAGCGCGCTCCGTGAGCTCGCAGCCACTTGCGTGCTTGTTGCACCCTGCGTGTCCGTCTGTCCGTCTGCCTGCGTGTGTGTGTGTGTATCGTTGTGTATGTGCCTGATGTGTGTGTCTCTATCGTTGTGTGTGTGTCCATCAGGCCGTTGCGTGTCTCTGTACAAGACGCAACGTGAAGCTGGCTGACTGTTTGAGCTGCTGCTGCTGCGGCTGCTGTGGTTACCGGCGATAAGTTGCAAACGCGAGACGCGGAAAAAACTCGGAAGAGCAGCAAGTCCAACAAGAACTACAACAACGACGACGACAACAACAACAACAACAACACAAATATCCTGAAGGCAAGCCACCGTCGGGGACAAGACGAAGACAAACTGGGACGAGAGAGGCGAAATGATCAAACTCTGAGCCACAGCAGCGAAGAAACTGTGTCGAGGATGACGAGACGGCGATAGGAGAAAGGAAACGCGACGCAGGGAAGTGGATCTTGTGTTGCTACACGCGTGTGTATTCAGTGTAACATTAGGGGAATACTATTTTTACTCGCTATTTTTTTTTATTCTTCCGGAACGCTGCGATGAGTAGGTAGGGCTGGCTTGGAGGTACGTTGGGATTGGTCGGCGTAAGGCACTACCACTGCGACCGTGACCATATTATTCCCGGAACGCACTTTTCCAGGTGCAATTGAGCAACTGTGTATTATAATTCAAGGGTAAATGACTCACGGCGAGACCACTGATGGATAGCGACAGTGGTTGAATGAATGAATGAGTGGTCAGAATCAGTGTGGTTGTCAACATAGATCGCTTTTTGACAGATTGAATGGTATTTTTCGTTCTCCACTATCGGATGCTTTGTTATTGATGTTATATAAATTATAAAATAGTTTTTTTCTAAAGACAAGTCTTCGGGATATTTTATAACAGTGAACGCTCAAATGAAACACGTGTCCACTTTGCAGTAGATGGCGCACTTTCATGAGCAGTCGTATTAATGATGACGATGACGACGACGATTCGAATTGATGTGGTGCCCGTTAGTTCTTAGCGTACGAAAGCAACTTTTGGTCTCGAACCGCTGCGTCTGTGCGATGCGGCCTTCTCGTCCCGGCCTTCGCTGGGGGGTAGGCTTCAGATGACGTTCAGCAATCGAACCCGCGGAAGGCGTCAACAGCAAGCACACACGTTGAACTTCTTTCACACCGTACTTAGGCAATCGTGCCAATCGGAGGTGCGGGGCCTCTCTGCTGCAGTGAAGTCTCGAGAGCGATATCTACTCGAGTGCGTGGTGGGGTCTTCTCCGTGAACATCAAGGACCGATGTCATTGTAACATTTCCGACCGAACGGGTTTTGCCCGAGGTGTATACGCATTGCGAAGATTGGCATCGTGCCTCGAAGAGGATGGAGTTCGAGTCACACGCTGATAACAAACTCATCTGTCGATTGATCCATCTATCTATCTAATCCTCCATCCATAATAACATCGATCTCGCTATCCATTCATTCATATAGCCAGCCCTTTATGCAGCCATATATAATATACATATCACCATACAACTATCGTTTTATCCATATAGCTATCTCAATAGACACCTATTCATTTATCTAGCCATCTATCTATCTATCTGTCTAATCCTCCACCCATAATAACATCGATCTCGCTATTCATCCATTAATTCATATAGCCAGACATCTATCCAGCCATATATAATATACATATCACCATCCAACGATCCTTTTATCCAAATAGCTATCTCAATAGACACCTATTCATTTATCTAGCCATCTATCTATCTATCTGTCTAATCCTCCATCCATAATAACATCGATCTCGCTATCCATCCATTAATTCATATAGCCAGACATCTATCCAGCCATATATAATATACATATCACCATCCAACGATCATTTTATCCAAATAGCTATCTCAATAGACACATATTCATTTATCTAGCCATCTATCTATCTGTCTAATCCTCCATCCATAATAACATCGATCTCGCTATCCATCCATTAATTCATATAGCCAGACATCTATCCAGCCATATATAATATACATATCGCCATCCAACGATCCATCTATCGAGCCATCCATTAATTCATCTCGCCATCCATCCATTCATCCATACATACTTCTGTCGACAATTCAACCATCCTTGTTTCCACATTCAAATCCTCTGACTTCACCTGCGACTCAAGTGCAGCTCCGAGATTTTTTTTGTTCATGAAGACAAAACGCACACGACTGGACACAGCCCTGCGTGTTGAGCACGCACACACACGCACACACTCACACACGCACACACACGCACACACACACACGCACGCGCACGCACACACGCACACACACACACGCGCGCACACACAGCCACACACCCACACACCCACACATACACATGTACACACACACACATGCACGTGCGTCCAGAGAAGTTGAATGAAGAGCCAAAGTGCGCGGAATGAATTAACACGAGCGGGCAGGCGCTGCGTGTAAAACTCTGGAATACTTCACGTGACCGGCGAGACGTGCCATGAACCTATAATCGAATCTACGATGGATAACAAATATAATTAGCGGTTAAAATACACATATATATATACAATATATATGAAGAACCAGTAATTTACCACATTTGGAAGATTTCAAAGCATGGACATTTCATTCATGTAAATCTCACTGAACATTTGCGATAGATACGTTCATATTTCGTCGTCCTTGCTGTTGAGCAGATGATAGACTTCGGTTGACATCGCCACACCTGCAGACCAGCGAGTGTGAGACGTGAGAAATGAGCACGTTACTCCTCGTACTCATTGCCTCGTGGGCCTGCGTCCTGGTGCCAACCGTCCAAGACTCATGCCCGGCACCGTCGAATGTAAGTTTGTGTGTGCGCGTGTTCGGTAGCGTAGTGTGTGTACGTGCGGGGTGGAAACATCGCCACTGGGGAGACAAAGGCGGTCGGGTGTGGTGCTGGCCACCCACCCACCCCCTCGTGTACCGTCCCGGCCTTAATAGGTGCTGCTCGCTAACAGCACTTGCCCCAACAGTCTGTTAAGGCTATACGGGGGATCTTTGTCTTTTTGTCGTGTGGGTGTGTGTGTGTGCGGTAGTGTAGTAGTTGGCGCGCTGCGCTACGAACCCGGCGACCTGAGTTCGATTCCCGCTCACGGCCAGCACCCAGTGACGATTATCTGAACCGTTCCTGGGCCTCGCCTACGTCGACTCAGCCTCAAAATGAGTACCTGGCGCGGTGTGTAAACATCGCCACTGGGGAGACAAAGGCGGTCGGGCGTGGTGCTGGCCACCCACCGCCTCGTGCGCTGTGCCGGCCTTAATAGGTGCTCGCTAACAGCACTTGCCCCAACAGTCTGTTAAGGCTACACGGGGGATCTTTGCTGTAGCACAGGGGCCGGATTACACCCACAGGCGATTACTAAGGCACTCCGTATTTTCTAAGGCCCTCCTTGAGATCCGTCGCTTCACGTTGGAGTGCCAGCGTCTTCGTCTTCTTGTTGTTTCGTACGGCTGCCGACGTAGATACAGGCCAAGCAACGACGACACTTTCACGTTCAGATGGTCAAGCCAGACAACCGCGTCGAGACTAGCGGAGTTGAGACATCACCGCTGCGATGTTTCCTTCGAATTTGTGCGGATCGGGGCATTGCGTCGTTATCATTTGTTCGAGTGTGTTCTGGATGAGCGACGGTAACGTGGTCATCGAGAATGTATTCGCCTTTGAATAACGACGACAACATTCACGCCTTTGCTTTAGATAAGGGAATCCTTTTTTTTACGTACCTAAGAAATAGTTGTAGCGAGTGCGTTATGTTTGATGAACGTACGGTGCGAAAGAAGTCCAACATACATAATCTTGAGTCGAATACATTTGTTAATTTTACGTAGGTTAGTGGATAAAGGTTTGATGAGTTATTTTTTGTTTGCTTACAACACTCTGCTGTATGTAGTAAATAGTTAGATCCCTCTCTTCCATTAGCCTTAGGCCTCTCATACAACCTTAACCTGGCCCTGACCCCACATGAGCCATTTCATCAATCCACTGCTGGATGAGAGCTTCCTCGTGCCGTGAGAATTGTGGGTGCGGTGGGGGATTTTTTTTTTTTATTAAAACATATTATTATAGTATCACGCTTATCAAGGGAACGCGTGAGTCTCAAGACGTTTTCAGGAGCAAACAAATGATGTGCTCATGGCCGTTGCTACGTTGGCAGTGGTGCACGAGGCACCGATAACGCGACACATTCGTCTGTAACATTGATTTAAAGATAAAATAAATATATCCAGGAACAGACGGAAAATTGGGCAATATGCTTCATTATTCGTAGTGATATTTCTAGTGAGGTGAAGAAGGGTCATTGCCCGAAACGTCGTTCCTGTTGAGTCTATGCTCCTCTACTCCAGGGAAGGTCCTAGCAAGGTTTTAGTAGAAACAGCGGAGCGATGTTGCTGCTGCTACTGCTGCTGCATGTTATCTCAATTGAGTAGTGTACAGTGTCAATTCTCGGCATTGGTATGTCTTGCCCACGAACCAGTTACGCGTTGAGTAATGTATTTTTTTTATCATCCGGGGTTATTTGACCATACTTCACCACGCTGGTCAGTGCGGTGTGGCATCGCGTGCTTTCAGATGCGCATCTGCGGCCGTCTGGAACGCTCTTCCGATATCAGGAAGCCACTGGAGCGATGCGCTTTTAAATCATCAGCGAGATTGAAAACTCATTTCTTTAGAACTGATTTCTGTGTTTGGTTTGTTGGCCATCCCCTGCACCTCCGATTACCACGGTTTAGCTACGTACGTACGGGTAAAATCGCGTAGAAGATTCGTCATGAGACCCGGGGAGGCGTTCCTTATAAAATAAATAGAGTTTAGTTGCTGAATATGGGATGCCACGGTGGCGAGATTATAACAACCTCGCCTCGGATACAGGAGGTCGTTGGTTCGATCCCGACGCTGACGCCTGTTTTTTTGGGAGTTTGCGTGTCTCTCTCTCCACGTGGTCGCATGGATGTTTTCCTCGGGACCACCGGGTTTTCCCTTCCACAGGAAGAATCAACGTGCGCTTAGAGCATTTGGCTGCTATACATTTCCACACAATGACAAACCCACTTCGTTGAGCTATCATTAGTGATAGCCAACTCGCTTATGAAAACGAGCTATATAGTTAAGCGGGCCTTACCTTGTAGAATAAATATAGTTTAGTTGATAATTTAAATAGGCTATTGGCATGCACGTTAACGATGTTAAAGATGATTTAGCCACCCGCTGCGACAATCTAATAGATGCTTGCACCACAACCTGCTACTATCTACTGCTGCTTCCGCCACGCACACTACCATCCTAAAGACGTGTTTGCCACGGCCGTACTACTGATGGTATATGTTGAACTTCTTTCGCACCGCACATAGCCAACAGTGGAGCTAATCGGACGTGCGGAGTGTCAGTGCGTGTCAAACGCTCGAGAGCAGAAATGCTCGACACGCAGCCCGACAGCTTCCGAAAATCCGCTCTCGGAGAATAGTTTCGTACTTTGCCCACGGGGGCATGTGGAGGAGGACAGCCGGGCTCAGCCCCGTCCAACGACTGTTTCACCTCTGTTCCGTTTCCGTCTCACCCTCCGTTCCACCTCCGTCCACCTCCATCCACCTCCGTTCCACCTCTCCACTCTGTCGCGCCCGCCGCTGCCTCCGCCAGGTGTCGCGGATGAACTCGTACCTGTGGAGCGTGTCACGGCACCCGCCCGCGTACCTCTTCGGCACCATCCACGTCCCGTACACGCGCGTCTGGGACTACGTGGCGCTTAATGCCAAGCGCGCATTCTCCTCCAGCGAGCGCGTCTACCTTGAGCTCGACCTCTCCGACCCTCACACCGTCTCCGAGCTGGGCCGCTGCCAGCTGCTGCCCCGCGGGCAGAGCCTGCCCTCGCTGCTGCCCCGGGAGCTCTACCTGCGTCTGAAGGTGACGGCCGCCGCCGGGCAGTTACTGGGCAACGTCGTGTGACACGCGCGTTCTTGTTGTCGCTGTCGTCGTTGCTAAATTGTGCCCGTTGAGGTTTTGTCTGCAGCGTCGGCATCGAAATCGTTGCAACTCGCATCGCTCGCAATCGCCGAGGGACATCGAATGAGCTGGAAAGCAGCAGCCGGTTGAGCCGGTTGCTACCAACAATTTCCCAAGCTCTGCAATCCTCTATCTATATTAAAGTGTTATTGGTCAATTGTATGTATTTATGCCGAACTTATTTTGCACCGAACGTAGCCAACTGCGCTAATCGGAGGTGCGGGGGAAGGACAACAACAAACTAAACACAACAATTAACTCGAAAGATACGAGTTTTCAATCTAGATTTAAAAGTGCACAGCTCCAGTGGCTTCATAATCTCGGGAGGGAGAGCGCGTTCCAGACGGCCGCAGAAGCGCATCCGACAGCGGGTGATGCGGCGACCGTCTTTGTTCGATGGCCAGCTAAAAGCCGCTGCTGCTGTAAGGATGGCCGGAGTTCGCGTGATGGTTGATGTTCCACTGATACATCCGAGCCATGCCACGGGGCCAGCACGGGGCCAGCACGGGGCCAGCACGGGGCCAGCACGGGGCCAGCACGGGACCAGGTTTTTTCTTCCACTGGAAATTTCACCGAGCCGAGCTGGAAATACATTAAAACCTGTCTCGGGGGGGCCAAGCTGGGCCAGGCTCGGGGATAATGACGCGTTGGTCACGTGTGAAGAGTTGGGGCAGTACGCAACTCGAGACGCAGACTCACCGCGTCATTATGCATGCGTTGTGACAGCATGAGCTAGCACTTGCAGGGCTGCCCCTTTACCTCTTATTAAGGTTGTGGGGGGGGGGGGCGCAGTTGGCGTTTAGGAGGGGAGGGGTGGGGGCCAGTTGGGCTGCTGCCTTAAACCCTCCACTGCTTGGCAGACTCGGGTGAGCGGGGGAGGGACATCAGTTAACTTTGCCCCCCACTCGCGACTAATAACCTTTGTGGATATAAACAAAAAACATACATAAACTTGTATTTTACCAGGTAAGCGCCCACTGAGCTCTACTAGCTCTTTTTCAGAAGCGACCTGGCCACAAATGATTGCTCAGCCAAGTGGCTCATCATCGTGTGGGAATTTAGAGCAGCCTCACACTCGAAACGCGTGATGCCGATTCTTAAATGTGGAGGTAAAAACCAGAGGGCCCCGAGAAAAATCCACGCGACCACGGCGAGAGAGAGAGAGAGACACGCAAACTCCAAATATACAGCAGGCGTCAGAGTTGGGATGGAACCCACGACCTCCTGCATACCAGGCGAAGGTAGTTAACATTTCGTCACCGTGGATAGGTAGGGGCGGGGGAAAGATTCAATAGACGTAGTGTTTCGATTTAAAGCTTTCGTGACTGCAGGGGATTCATATTCTTGGTTCTTTCGGTAAAGTCACGTAGAAGGGAAATAATAAAATAATAAAATGAAAACAATACAATTCTCACGACGTTTCGATTGCAACAGAAGCAATCATCATCAGGTGTGAAAACCACTTTTTCAAATTTTCTTGCCGTGGTTTTCACACCTGATTAATCGTAAAAAGTTTTACGATTTACTATCGTGAAACTATACCTCTTGAAACTGACACAACATCGATTGTACGTGAAAAGGGTCGGACAGATTAATTTGGGGAGGGACACTGGTGCAGGGGGTGAGGAGGCTGCATTGTCAACCAGGGTGGCTCTGGATAAGTTTACACTCAGCCGATGAGAGGACGAGTTATTTAGCCCGACCCTGGCTATGTTACAAGGGGGATCCGTGGTGTGCGTTTGTTACCTTGACCCTCCTCCGTAACGTTGTTGTTGCGTTATCGTTGTCAGTTTAACGCATAGGCGTTTGACGACCAACAATAATCCATACTCGCCTGATGAAGCTGGTTGCAATAGTCAGGGGAACGTCGTACTTGAATTGTAAATGTTGTGATGGTTTACTCTCCAGCACACCGGTTCGTGCTGAAGTGGTAACTAATTGGCATGTTTAGTTTACGTGACAAACCTTTAACTGTATCTAACTATTTGTTTTTATTTTAGCAGGTAAGGCCCATTGAGCTATATAGCTCTTATTCAGAAGCGACCTGGCCACAGATGATAGCTCAACGAAGTGGCTTATCACGTGGACATGTATTGCAGCCAAATTATCTAAATGCGTGGATGTTGATGCCAAATGTGGAGTGAAAACCGGAGGACCCGGAGAAAAATCCACGCGACCACGGGCAGAGAGAGAGAGACACACAAACTTAAAATATACAGCAGGCGTAAAGGTTGGGATCGCACCCACGACCTCCTGTATACCAGGCGAGGTAGTTAACATCTCCTAGCCACCGCAGCTCCCTTACGAATTGGCTGTGCCGGGTGCTGGCAGGTTTAACGACACAACTCTATTCACGCGATCTCTAAACGAACAACACAAACACTTCACAATGTTTATTGTTACTATTTGTTTTTTTTTCGGTAAAGTCACGTAGGTAAAAAATAAAATAAATGAAAAGAAAATTATTTAATTATTTTTTTTACCTACGTGACTTTACCGAAAAAACCAAAGAGTATGAATCCTTGCAGTCACGAAAGCTTCAAATCTAGAATGAATTGTTATTTTTCGATTTAAAGCTTTCGTGACTGCAGGGATTCATCTTCTTGGTTCTTTCGGTAAAGTCACGTAGAAGGGAAGTAATAAAATAATAAAAATAAAGCATAATAAAATAATTCTCAACGCCGTTTCCGCCACAACGCAAGCAGCCGTCCTCATGTGAAAACCAGGTCTGTCGACTTTACCGAAAGAACCAAGAAGATGAATGGTTATTGTTGTTGTCGCCATTGTTGTTGTCGCCATTGTTGTTGTCGCCATCGTTGTTGTTGTCGCCATTGTTGTTGTCGTCATAGCGTCACCTGGCGTACGTGAGACGGCGGCTGCTGGGATGGGGGTCTCGGGAGGGGGGCAGTCGCAGGAGGGACCCCCTCCTCGTGAGCCTCTCGGGCGGCGAGTGGCGTCGCAAGCGCCCCATCTGGCTCCTCCTGCTCCTGCCCTGGCTCAGTGAGGCGGCCCTCAGAGCCTCCGCACGGGAAGGTGAGGCGGTGGACATTCCACGTTGCCGCGGTGGGGCCAGCGCAGGCGTGGGGAGGGGGATGGGGGGCGCCGTTTGAATCGACACTTTGGCGCGTGACGTCAGTGGCGCGGCTCGGCTGTTGCAGTGGAAAAAACAACAACAGCTGGACACCGTGCTGTGCTGGCACGCCACGGCCCCCGGCACAGTTCAGTGGAAAAGAGGTATTCAAGGCCATCGCGGGGGGAATTTTTGTGGTTGTGTGTGTGTGTGTCTGTGTGTGTGTCTGTGTCTGTGTGTTTGTGTGTGTATGTGTGTCTGTGTGTGTGTGTCTGTGTGTGTCTGGCCTGGCACAAGCGTCGTGGTGACGTCACCGCCACTTAGTGGCGAATGGCGATTGTTGTTGTTGTGTCTCTGTGTCTGTCTGTGTGTATGTGTGTGTGTCTGTGTCTGTGTGTTTGTGTGTGTCTGTGTGTATGTGTGTGTGTGTCTGTGTGTGTGTGTCTGTGTGTATGTGTGTGTGTCTGTGTGGAGAGCGGTGGGGTAGCGGTTAGCGCACTGCGCCACGAACCGGGCACGGCCAACACCGGTGACGATTATCTGAATCGGTCCTGGGCCTCCCCAAGGTCGACTCAGCCTCAAAAAATAGTACCTGAGACAAAGGCGAGGCGGGCGTGGTGCTGGCCACCCACCCCCTGCCGGCCTTTATATGTGGTGCCCGCGAACAGCACTTGCCCCGACACTCTCTCGTTTAAGGCTATACGGGGGATCTTTGTCTTTGTGGATGATGAGGAGGTGGAGGAGGAGGGAGTCACTCGCCCCCTCTGCTGGACGTGCACCTGGCGCGCGAGGCCGCGCGCGCGCGCAAACACGTGGGCGCCGTGGAGCTCGTCCACGAGCAGTGCGCGCCGCTCAACCGCCTGAGCACCGCGCAGGTGAGCGGTGACGCACACACGCAGGTGACGCACACACACACACAGGTGACACACACACACAGGTGACACACACAGGTGACACACACACAGGTGACACACACACACAGGTGACACACACACACACAGGTGGCACACACACACAGGTGACACGCACACAGGTGACACGCACACACACACAGGTGACACACACACAGGTGACACACACACACAGGTGACACACACACAGGTGACACACACACAGGTGACACACACACACACAGGTGGCACACACACACACAGGTGACACGCACACACACACAGGTGACACACACACAGGTGACACACACACACACAGGTGACACACACCACAGGTGACACACACACACACAGGTGGCACACACACACAGGTGACACACACAGGTGACACACACACGCAGGTGACCCACACACACAGGTGACACACACAGGTAGACACACACAGGTGGACACACACAGGTGACACACACACACAGGTGACACACTAACACACACAGGTGGCAACACACACAGGTGACCCACACAGGTGACACACACACGCAGGGGACCCACACACACAGGGTGACTACACACACAGGTGACACACACACAGGTGACACACACACAGGTGACACACACACACAGGTGACACACACACAGGTGACACGCGCACACAGGTGACACACACACACAGGTGACACACACACACAGGTGACACACACACACAGGTGACACGCACACATAGGTGACACGCACACACACAGGTGACACACACACATAGGTGACACACACACACAGGTGACACGCACACACACAGATGACACACACACACAGGTGACACACACACACAGGTGACACACAGACACACAGGTGACACACACACAAGGTGACACACACACAGGTGACACACACACAGGTGATACACAGGTGACACACACACACACACAGGTGACACACACACACAGGTGACACACACACACAGGTGACACGCACACACACAGGTGACACACACACACAGGTGACACACACACACAGGTGACACACAGGTGGGCAGTGACACACAGACACACAGGTGACACACAGGTGTGGGTGGTGACACACACACACAGGTAGGTAGTGACACACACACAGGTGTGGGTGGTGACACACACAGGAGAGAGCGTCACACATGCACATTGCAGTGACACACACACACATCTGAGCTTAACTCACAGCAGAGAGATCGTGACACACACAGAGGCGAGAAGTGACACACACAGGAGGGAGAGTGACTTATGTGAAGCAAGATAAACAACGAGTTTGTTGTGTTCTGAATTTCAGACATTTGCATCATCTGTCTTTGTGCCAACACAATTACCTCACCCGACAGCACGTGACGCACACTTTTGGCGGGAAAACCGCGGCAGCGACGTCACACTGTCGATAGAATCCGAACAACAACAACAAAACGCAATCCAAGAGCATCCGTGACCGTGCCAGATTTTTTTTTATTTGTTTCAGAGTAGTCTCGATTCAGAATATCAGAATCGGAATATTGATTTATACTTGAGAAATCCGATGAGCTATGATGCGCTTTTTTTACAGATGTCGCAGATGACATCCCTGTCAACCCCTTATCAGTGCCCTACCTTATTACAGATAAATTCAGACCTCATTGGTCACCCCGTGCCCCTTATACATCTCAACGTTCACCCTACAAAGTCTCCATCACAAGGGAGAAACACAAACAAATAGACAACAAAAATGTTGCCCGTTTTGAAACTGCTGTACGCCCTGTGGACCTGAAAACTCAATTTCCCTGTACTAAGAATACGCGGTAAAGCGTGTGGATTGACAAGTATGAAAGTGTAGTGTATAGTGTAGGGTAGACCGTGTGGGTTGACACGGTATGATAGTGTAGTGTATAGTGTAGGGTAAAGCGTGATGGGTTGACACGGTATGATAGTGTAGTGTATAGTGTAGGGTAAACCGTGATGGGTTGACACGGTATGATAGTGTAGTGCATAGTGTAGGGTAAACCGTGATGGGTTGACACGGTATGGTAGTGTAGTGTATAGTGTAGGGTAACGAGTGTGGATTGACAAGTATGATAGTGTAGTGTATAGTGTAAGGTAAACCATGATGGGTTGACACTGTATGATAGTGTAGTGTATAGTGTAGGGTAAACCGTGATGGGTTGACAGGTATGATAGTGTAGTGTATAGTGTAGGGTAAACCGTGATGGGTTGACACGGTATGGTAGTGTAGTGTATAGTGTAGGGTAAACCGTGATGGGTTGACACGGTATGATAGTGTAGTGTGTAGTGTAGGGTAAACCGTGATGGGTTGACACGGTATGGTAGTGTAGTGTATAGTGTAGGGTAAACCGTGATGGGTTGACACGGTATGGTAGTGTAGTGTATAGTGTAGGGTAACGAGTGTGGATTGACAAGTATGATCGTGTAGTGTATAGTGTAAGGTAAACCATGATGGGTTGACACGGTATGATAGTGTAGTGTATAGTGTAGGGTAAAGCATGTGGATTGACAAGTATGATAGTGTAGTGTATAGTGTAGGGTAAACCGTGATGGGTTGACACGGTATGGTAGTGTAGTGTATAGTGTAGGGTAAACCGTGATGGGTTGACACGGTATGGTAGTGTAGTGTATAGTGTAGGGTAAAGCGTGATGGGTTGACACGGTATGGTAGTGTAGTGTATAGTGTAGGGTAAACCGTGATGGGTTGACACGGTATGGTAGTGTAGTGTATAGTGTAGGGTAAACCGTGATGGGTTGACACGGTATGGTAGTGTAGTGTATAATGTAGGGTAAAGCGTGATGGGTTGACACGGTATGGTAGTGTAGTGTGTAGTGTAGGATATACCGTATGGGTTGACACGGTATGATAGTGTAGTGTGTAGTGTAGGGTAAAGCGTGTGGGTTGACAGGTATGATAGTGTAGTGTATAGTGTAGGGTAAACCGTGATAGGTTGACAGGTATGATAGTGTAGTGTATAGTGTAGGGTAAACCGTGATGGGTTGACAGGTATGATAGTGTAGTGCATAGTGTAGGGTAAACCGTGATGGGTTGACACGGTATGGTAGTGTAGTGTATAGTGTAGGGTAAAGCGTGATGGGTTGACAGGTATGATAATGTAGTGTATAGTGTAGGGTATATCGTATGGGTTGACACGGTGTGGTAGTGTAGTGTATAGTGTAGGGTAAAGCGTGATGGGTTGACAGGTATGATAATGTAGTGTGTAGTGTAGGGTAAACCGTGATGGGTTGACACGGTATGGTAGTGTAGTGTATAGTGTAGGGTAAACCGTGATGGGTTGACACGGTATGATAGTGTAGTGTGTAGTGTAGGGTAAACCGTGATGGGTTGACACGGTATGGTAGTGTAGTGTGTAGTGTAGGGTAAACAGTGATGGGTTGACACGGTATGATAGTGTAGTGTATAGTGTAGGGTATACCGTGTGGGTTGACAGGTATGATAGTGTAGTGTATAGTGTAGGGTAAACCGTGATGGGTTGGCACGGTATGGTAGTGTAGTGTATAGTGTAGGTTAAACCGTGATGGGTTGACACGGTATGGTAGTGTATAGTGTAGGGTAAACCGTGATGGGTTGACACGGTATGATAGTGTAGTGTATAGTGTAGGTTAAACCGTGATGGGTTGACACGGTATGGTAGTGTAGTGTATAGTGTAGGGTAAACAGTATGGGTTGACACGGTATGATAGTGTAGTGTATAGTGTAGGTTAAACCGTGATGGGTTGACACGGTATGGTAGTGTAGTGTATAGTGTAGGGTAAACAGTATGGGTTGACACGGTATGATAGTGTAGTGTATAGTGTAGGGTAAACAGTATGGGTTGACACGGTATGATAGTGTAGTGTATAGTGTAGGTTAAACCGTGATGGGTTGACAGGTATGGTAGTGTAGTGTATAGTGTAGGGTATACCGTATGGGTTGACACGGTATGATAGTGTAGTGTATAGTGTAGGGTAAACCGTATGGGTTGACACGGTATGGTAGTGTAGTGTATAGTGTAGGGTAAAGCGTGATGAGTTGACACAGTATGATAGTGTAGTGTATAGTGTAGGGTAAAGCGTGATGGGTTGACACGGTATGATAGTGTAGTGTGTAGTGTAGGGTAAACCGTGATGGGTTGACACGGTATGATAGTGTAGTGTATAGTGTAGGGTAAAGCGTGATGGGTTGACAGGTATGATAATGTAGTGTATAGTGTAGGGTATATCGTATGGGTTGACACGGTGTGGTAGTGTAGTGTGTAGTGTAGGGTAAACCGTGATGGGTTGACACGGTATGGTAGTGTAGTGTATAGTGTAGGGTAAACCGTGATGGGTTGACACGGTATGATAGTGTAGTGTGTAGTGTAGGGTAAACCGTGATGGGTTGACACGGTATGGTAGTGTAGTGTGTAGTGTAGGGTAAACAGTGATGGGTTGACACGGTATGATAGTGTAGTGTATAGTGTAGGGTATACCGTGTGGGTTGACAGGTATGATAGTGTAGTGTATAGTGTAGGGTAAACCGTGATGGGTTGGCACGGTATGGTAGTGTAGTGTATAGTGTAGGTTAAACCGTGATGGGTTGACACGGTATGGTAGTGTAGTGTATAGTGTAGGGTAAACCGTGATGGGTTGACACGGTATGATAGTGTAGTGTATAGTGTAGGTTAAACCGTGATGGGTTGACACGGTATGGTAGTGTAGTGTATAGTGTAGGGTAAACAGTATGGGTTGACACGGTATGATAGTGTAGTGTATAGTGTAGGTTAAACCGTGATGGGTTGACACGGTATGGTAGTGTAGTGTATAGTGTAGGGTAAACAGTATGGGTTGACACGGTATGATAGTGTAGTGTATAGTGTAGGGTAAACAGTATGGGTTGACACGGTATGATAGTGTAGTGTATAGTGTAGGTTAAACCGTGATGGGTTGACAGGTATGGTAGTGTAGTGTATAGTGTAGGGTATACCGTATGGGTTGACACGGTATGAT